CCAACGTACTTTTTGGGAAAATATGTAAAAACTCTGAAAATGTGAATGTTACTGTAAATTGCAATCATTGATATGTAAATCTGTTTTACAAATTTCCTAAGAGAACATTTAAGACCATTGTGATTTTGTTGACATAAGATTTTTGTTTCTTTTATGTTGAGTTCATCAATCCTTCTTTTCAAGTTCAATGTCATGCAGTTAGTTAACAAACTCTTTTATAAGAAAACATTTACACGGATCCGTTGGGACTTAAAACTTTCTTATATTACTTAGAGTTTAGTGTGTGTGAATTTGCTAAATGAATTCAGTTTTCTAAACTGAAAAAATTGCTGCGATGAAAAGTTTTTAATAAACAGACTGTTAGCATTTTTTAAATATTTTGTCAATTCAAAAATTATTAAAATATCTATTTTCTTTATTTTACACATAATCAGTAATTTGTATAAGACTTAAAGACCCCATATAAATTCAAAATTTTAATTAAAAATTAAATTTATAACTATTTAATTTTTTTTTCTTACAAAATTCTTTTTTATTTAAGTATTATTTGACAGAATTAGGTACATGATATGTAAGGAACAAACTTTTTCGATATAATTATTTACCAAAATAATTAATATACAAAAAAAAAAACACTATAATAAATGCATTACACACTAAACATGTAAGTTTAGTAAAAGGACATAAAAATGTTATATTGCCATTCCGCAGGCGGTCCACAGTACGTATGAGTATTGTAAAAACCATTGTATACAAAACGATTAAATAGAATTATAGTAAACATAAAATATTTAGCTTTATTTTGATTAGGATATTTTTATAATACTTTTAAAATTTTATTTTTGAGTGCATTAAATTGAAAATTATTTTCTCATTAAATGATAGAATCAATAACAAAATCATACTACTACACTTTAAGTATATTTTTGAACAATTTTTAGAACAGCGACTTTATGTTATATACCAAACATGGAATTAATATATTTACATTTTAATGGAAGAATGAGTAAGTACATGACTTTTCCCTCTTCGGACAAAAAGGATCCCCTTGTTCAAAGTTTCGCACAGCATCTAATGATTCAGAGAGACTCGATTCTCCACTGTTGGAGTTACAGTTACTCAATGACATTTTGCAGAGTGAGATAGAGTTAAAAATCTCTTAAGTATATCAATATTATCAAAAAGGATCAAATGTTGACCTCTTTATAATATAAGTGAGTTGTCATTAAATGAATCTGAAGTTTTTTAATTAGTTTTCTACTTAATCAAAAAAAATTGCATATATTAGTACATATTTACAATTATATAGCATAAAAAGATATAATCTAATACTAAGCTGCCTGTATATACGGGTAAACAAAAATGTTTCATGAAAGTCACGTACAAAATTTTCATTCCCTTAATACGTTTGACTTACACATCAAATCAAAATTTATGAGGTTAAGAAAAGTCATTCTACATGAGAACTGGATGCACCAAATGCTGGAAGTGTTTTTTGTGTAATGTAGCAAATAAATCCCTGAGCACAATTTTAAATATACTGGAAATGTTTTCTTTTTTATGGTTTAAGTTTAGATATTGATGTTGAGAAAAGGTTTAAAAACTTGATTTCCGAATTTTACACAAATATTAGCTTAGCAAATTACTGAGATTATCATTATCTTTTTATAAAACATTTCAAATAAAGTGAATTTAAAAAAAATCATTTTTAATATATATTATGTATCTTAAAAACATATAGTAATTTATTAATTAAATTAATAGTTAACTAACAACTATGAT